AGGCTCAGAAGCCCAGAATCACCTACCTGTTTCTGATGTGATTATATAAAAAATAGAGCATTTGCCTAGCATTGTTTCTGCCAAGGGCTCTGGCATACAATTTGCTCTGTGTCAGCATACCACTTGATTCTCAGGAGAGTTTTCTCTCTACCAGGCTCCATTCTAGATGCTGGAAAGCATTCTTGACCCTTTCCAGGGAAATCTTTATATTTTTTTGCTGGAATGATTTATCAGGAGAAAGAGAATGAAGAGGAGCCTGACTGTGCACCTCAGCATTAGGATGTGCAACTCAGAGAGACCTGGATTGCCATCTCCTCTTCCAAGGCTGCTTCTGTCTTCTTATCCAATGAGTGTGTACATGGTCATTTAAATGAATAAAATACAGAAGCAGTACTGGAAGCAGAGACCAGTCCCCAGAACATCCTTACCCAAGGAATAGATTTATTAGGTAGTTATTAGATAAGAGGTGGGCCATCGTATCCCTGGCTCCCCAGCTGTCTCCTGAACTGCCTGTGGAGTTGTCCTTGCAGAATTAGGCAGCAGCTGATTGAGATTTTTTATGCACTTTGGATTCAGGTACATAATTTCCATCAAAGTCCCTTTTGCACAGCAAAGAGCAAAAGCCAAAAAGTTGTTTTTCTGTTGTGTCATGTAAGAATGTGTTGACTGCATAAGGGAGAAGGCTCCCTGAAACTCCAACAGATGCTTTTGGTCATGCACAGAGAAGTCATACTTACATGGAGAAGGGTCCTTTAGACAAAACCGTAAGGCACTTTGGCCTGCCAGCAACTCTGAGGAATCAAATGAGTACTTTGCAAATCACCCAAAAATGCCTTAGTGCTTTTCACTGCATTGGAGAGCCAAGGTTGCTTGCTTTCCACTGCATTTCAGCAGCATGGAGAACGGGAGGTCAGTTCAATGCTGATAAAGATTTTCCAATGGCACAAGACAGCCTAAGAGATGATCTCAGCTTTTTTCATCACCTAGAGATGGTGATGAGAAAGCAAAACTTTTAAAAAAGTGATGCAAAGCCCCTTTTCACTGGAATTGGTCTTTCATCCTCCCACTTTTGCCAAGCAAGACAGAGCTGGGGTCAGTTTATTTTCCATCCCCCTGATTGTTGCAATATCTTCTTGGAGTCTCCTGCTTAAAGCTGGAGAGGTCCTGAAGAAAAAGAAATGCAAAAGTGGCGACTGGCTGCCTTTGCCCCATATATAGCTTTGGTATCTGGGTTACTCTGTTTTGTCTGGTACATATCTGTGATTCTGTCTATTTATATCCAGTTCTGTTTCCTGTCCACACTCACCAGCACTGTCGTATCTCCCAGTCTGTGCAGTGGTCTGGAAGCACACACATACATGCAGGCAAGAAGTTACCAGCATCGCCTGTTGGTTTTTTAACCAGGACAGCTCGGATAAAGACTTATACTAGATGAGCTTCCTTGACCAGTGAGAGCTGGAGATGAGGAGAAGCGCGTTCCCTTGTGCTGCAGCTTTGAATAGAAGGAGCTTTGAGTCTTCCTGAGGGTCAGTTTCAGCTCAAAAACCGGTGTGGAGAGTGTCCTCCCCACCTCCAGCCCAGAGAAAGGGGATTTTCAGGGTCCCAAGTGCTGTGCCAATGAGCTGGCCAGCAGTCCCAGGAGAGCAGCTCTGCACTAGGCTGGCTCAGTCCCCAGCACAAAGCTGTCGGCTCTCCATTCCTCAGGGACTTAGTGGCTTCAGTGTGAGCATTGAGACTTCAGCCTGTAAATCTTGGCAGCGCGCGGCCCTGGCACTTTGTGGCGTAGACCGTGTTCCCAGCTGGACACGGTGTTTCACTCAGTGTGCTTGCTGAAGGTTACAGCACCGCAAATTGCCCTCTCTAGGGAAACCTTTGACACCCTCTGGTTGTGCCCCGAGTGCTGCTTCTTCCTGTTTCTAACAGTGCAGTCCTCATTTTGCTAAGCTGAAGCATATATCTAACATAAGCACGTACACCTCCACATCGGATCCACCTAAAGCAAGGAGGGCTTCACGTGGTTTGCAAAATTGAGGTCTCGGTATCCTAAATGTACCTTTCAAATGCAACTGCAGGATCTGCATAATTGAAACTTTTGCTCTAATCTTGTTACTTCCCTCAGGCAGTTCCTGACAAGTGGAGATTATAAGTGAGGGTCTGTAGCAAACATAACTAAAAAAAGGCTTCCTTAATATTTTTGCAGTGTGTTCAAAGCAGCTTGGGTGCTGAGCACAGAAAACTAATTTCCCTTTTACCTGAAATGTCATTATGTTTATTAAATTAATCCTAAAACATATCCAGATCTTTTTGTGATTTTGCATTTGTCATAACTAAAAGATCTCACTAAATATTTCTCTATACCTCTAAATAATATTGCCCATCATGTCATATTTGTCTCAGATTTTCCTCAGTGGCTTTGCATTAGAGCTGAAAAAGAGCTATCATGGAAAATAAAATGAGACTAAAATAACAGTCCTTTGTATTAAATTTAACATTTGGCTTCTGTCCCAGAATTTTACACATCCATATTAGAATCAGATGGTAGCGTAAGATGAAAAGATTTCCTGGATGGATTTTATTCTTATTCTTATTAAAGGGCTGATAACAGGCTGAAGGCAAGATACTTGTTGTAGTAAAAAAATCTGCCTAATATCAAAGGCTGGATGGACAAGCTGACACGTATTGTTGTTGGGCCTCCCTGCTTGATCACATCTCAGTATCATAAAATCATTCTCCTAGTGAACATGAAGGATAAAAATTCCAACGTGAGAGTAAAAAGCCCAGGCTGGCAGGTAGCACTCCTTTGGGCACACTGCTTTGTGCTTAGGAGCTGACCATAAGCCAATACAAGGGTTTAATATCAAAAAATTCAGTTATTCTCAAATATTTGCATTAATGAAAGGCAATCCCTCGTCCTGACTTACCTGTGGAGCTGGTGTCATGTGTGACGTGACAGTATAGGGCAGCCCCACCAGTATTGCTCAGTCTTCTTCTGCAGCTGTGTATCCTCTGCCGTGTCCCCAAACCAGCCACTTGCCCCAGGTTCCTTTGGCAATCTGGAGACAGCAAGATCAAAGGGACTTAAATACTCTTCAGAAAGCAATTTTCCCTTTCCTCAAAGCAGCTTTATATAGTACTTATGTATGACTGGGCTTAAATTGTATGAACGTTTGCAGGCTCTGGATATTCTATGCAAAAACAATTACTTTTGATGAAACGAAGGAGTGGTGCTTTCTAGTGTTGCTGTTCTGCTGTAGTGGAGACTGCAGGCATGATATTTGAGCTATAAATTAGATTTTGCAAAGCAGCTCTTCTGTAGGGAGTCTGCTGCTTAAGACCGACAGGCTATAATTAGCATTTTCTTGGGGATATTTTTGCTCTGTTTTGATGCAGTATCTTCAGCAACAAAAGTAGAGCAGCAACTGCAGGCTGCCTTGACCCTTCATTTCAGCTTGTGATTGCAAAGGGTATGGAAGAGCAAATATGCTTTACAGGTACCTTATGCTACTTTTCTAAATGCACCTTTGTGAAGCAACTGGTATGTGGTTTGAATTTACAAGCAGAGAATCATTTCACCAGCGCTCATGTTTACAGCATCAGTGTCAACATCTGAGCTGATACCCAGCGCTCCTTTTACAGTCAGTGGAAAGATGTGTGCACGTTTAGAGGAGTAATTAATCTGATCTATTTTAGACATCTTCCCAGTGAGATGGATTGTATTCTAGAAGAATCTATTTCTCCCCTTAGTGATAATGAAATCTAGTATAATTACTTCAGGGGGGGCTATATGTAGTTAGGTGAGAGGGATCCATACAGCATGTTTCTGAATAGTACTGCATTCTCACTTTGCTATTAACACTGTTTGTATTAATGCTGGGGTTTTGTTTTGTTGTTTGTTTGGTTTTAGGTTTGTTTTGGTTTTGGTTTTGGTTTTTTTTATTTATCACATTACTATAGGGAATACACAAAGAGATCACTTGTGTTTGTAAGGAATCTTGGTTCAGTCCCTAAGAGATTTTTACCGCTGATAATTACAGCTACCTTAATGCTTCCTGTGCAAGCTGTTTTGGTAGTTGCATTGATCCTGTCCTCCATGACTCAGGTACCAGTTCGATGCTAAACATCTTCTCGGATGAAGAATGCATTCTGGGGCATGTGAAGTACTTGGGCAATACTAAGGGGCTTGGGGCAGAAATCTCTGAGAGACCGTGAGACTTCCTTGCACTCTTCTGAAAACAGCTTCAAGGAGGCCAAATGCATGGGGCTGTAGCGCATAGACTGTTATCGCAACTGGGGTGAGGAATAAGGAAGCATAATTTGTCCTGGGGAACAGTGTTGATGCTCTGTTCATTTGGGTTTACCTGAGCCATGCTTATGTGTTCATTCAAAGACATGAAAAGCCCCCAGAGCTCGTCTCCTCAAGAGGAGTTTGCCATATATGACAGGGCACAAAGGGCAAGTAGCATCTTAGGAGACAGAAGAATTTCCTGTGAACAGCCCTTGGCAAAACAATAGAGTAATAACTAGTAACTAAGGAATCAAAGTTATTTCTGAAGTGTGTAAACAGAGTCATAGAATAGGAGTAATAAAGTGTTACTGCTCCCATATTTATCATTTGTCACTATACCATCCTGCGGCAAGCAGATTGATTTTCAGAGGGTGATGGCTGCTGGAAACATGTTCTTGGAAACCTTTCTTGTTCACTACCCCAAAATCTCTAATTACATTTGGAAGTCTTGGCTTTGGAGTAGAATTCTGGTATCTGGATTACTGACACCCAAAACCACAGGGCTCCCTAGTATGGTCCTTTAGTTTTCCTCTAATTAATCTTCTGGTTGATTATGTAATTAATTTTCCTATGTGAGTATGTATTCTGTTTCTTTCTTTAATTAATTCTTTCACCTCAGCTTTGCTTATTCCCTCCTGTGTCAAGGTCTTACATTAATATTTGCAGCATTGTCTAGTGACGTCTGTGCATTTTCTTTTTCTTTTTTTTAAAACAGCCGTAACTGAAATTGCACCATGTATTTTGAAGACTTCACCAACAGATCAGCAGCTGAACAAGCTTGCAAGGAGACTGGGACCCGAATGGGAGCATATAGTTCTGTGCTTGGGTTTGTCCCACACTGACATCTATCGATGTAAAGTCAATCACCCTCACAACCTGCAGTCACAGATTGTAGCTGCCTTTGTCCTGTGGAGACAGCGTTTGGGGAGAAGAGCAACAATCCAAAGTCTGCAAGCCAGTCTGATGGCAGAAGAAGTGGATCCTTCTGTGCTACAGTACATGCTTGAGTGAAGCCTTGCTATTGATTGGGAGCTTGCAAGTACATTGTTAGATTAATTAAGGAGTATTCACTGAAATGTATGTTGGAGATCTGACACCTCAAACTGGAAAAAATGGGATTGGGAACTGTGGTTTTATTAAGCTGAAACATTCCAATTTTCTGTGGTATCTTGTGACTTGTAATTCTTTTCATGTCAGATTAATTTTTAGCAGGCATTAAAAAGTGGATCACTCTTATTGCTTTTGTACTATTCCAGTGGGGATATAGGGTGACAAAGTCCTTGCAAGCAGGAGGCCCTGCAGTGAGTTCAGCAAGGTTTCTGGTTTCATTGCGGGAGCAACACTTGGTTTAAACCTATTTTCTCGACTGTGTAGGAACCTTTTTTACTGCTGTTCCATGCTAATTCCCTGATACCCCAGCAAAAAAATGAGAATAATCACTGTTACTAATGTAACAATTTTACAACAGTTATTGCAAATGGCTCATTTCACATTTATAAAAGTTTTAGCACATAGAGTTTCTTGCTAGGATAGATGGCTGCCACCTTAGTCTGCCTTTGAAACTGGGCCTAAGAGGAAGTAACAGGAAGCTAGTGTGCCTGTGAGGGTTTCTCCTGTTACTATTTAATGTGTTTCTGCAAGGAGACAGGCACCATGCATGCGTGCCATCTCTTCACATAGCCCGGGTGGGGAGTTCTGGGTAAGACACACAGTAGAAAAGTGACCAGAAGGTAGGCAGGAGATGGCAGAGTGAGAAGGAGCCTAAAAAATGAGACAACTTCTAAGTTGTCCATGTTTGTCTCTGCTAATAAACTGAGAGACAACCTGGTGCGAGCTGAGTCTTTATATTATGCTCTGGATCCAGGCAATCTTGTTTCACAGAAGTTTTACTCTTAGGTCAAGTGTCAGAGGCACCTTTGTCTGACCACTGCATGCCCAATAGAGTACTGAAGCTTGCAGGTCCTTTTCTGGTCAAGATGATCACCCCACTGCTTTGCTTCCAGCTTATGCTATCCACCAGGCTCATTTCCTTTCTACCAGCTTTCCTGCACCTAATGGGGCAGCTTCCACACTCCTGTCCCTAGTTCTTTGCCAGCTGAAATTGTACCACCAGTGATATTACCGATACCTCCAGAGGAATAGTAAAGCTTGGGCTTCCTTCCTGTCCAGGAGAGTTTCTTCCTGCTGGAAGAAACCACTGAGGTTTTTGCTGACCAGGTAAGTAGGGATCAGTCCACAGGCTACACATCCAGAGGCAATGGAAGAGACCAGCTGCTCTCTGAGGCTTGATGATAAGAGGCAGAATGCATTTTAATGCTCCCTGGGCAGTTTGCAGTACAGTAAATTAAGAGGAGGGTTTCCAGGTCTGTTTATAAGCAAGTTCTGGTAGACTGTTTCATCTACAAAGTCTTTGCCAAGTAATTTCCCATCCTACAAGATCTTCCCTGTATAATTTAACGGCTTGACAGCCTTCTCAGGAGTCTTTATTGGAGCGTGAATGAGCTTTACTGCCTTTTTTTAATTCTTCCTATACTCAGATTTTGGAAGACGTCTGAGAAATCAGGAAAGACAAAGAGATTTTTAGGACATCCTGTCTGCCTTGTTTTTCAGAAGCATGGAAACATAAAACATATCCTGGCAGGATCAGTTCCTACAGGTCCTGAAGCAATCTGGTGATATTTTGGTTTTAATCTTCTGTATACAGTTCTGACCTTCAATAAATCGTGATCCTGTTATACCTCACTCGGATCTTAACTAGTCATATCCTATTACGGCTACTTACAGAGTTTAAGTCTATCAACAAGTCTCAAATAAACAATGCAAATCAATTTAAGCCTTGAGATTTATTTATTTTTCTGTTTCGTAATGCTTTAATGCCAGCATATTCCTTTGTGGCTGAAAACCATCCTAGAGCAGGTGTACAGGCATTTGGTGAATTCAGAGGAGCACGACCCAGCGCAGGGAGCATGATGAGGACTCTGAAGCAATTCTCCTCAGACCAGAGGAGTGTGGTCTGCATGTTAGGGAAGAGGGACAAAGCGGTGTCCTTGGCAGCAGTTTGAAGGAACAAAATCTGGAGATGGAAGAAACTACTGAAAACATGAGTTAGAGGAAGAAGCTGGCTCATGGCCACGTAAATGCAAGTACCTTACCTTGTTCTGAGCTGACATGGAAGTCTGGAACACAGACTGGTCTCCAAGGGAGTTGTCCCCAGTTAATCCAGCCTGAAGGCAGTGCTGCAGGGAGGCAACCAGTCTTGGCGGTATAGCAGTGTAATGGGCACACTCACAGGGCCCTTGTACCTTCTTTGCGTGAATTTCGTATTTCATGTTCTTCGTTTGTAAGACCAATGACAAGTTATCCATAACTAATGTATTTAGAGCATTTTTAGTGATTAAGCAAACAGCCTGGAGTAGGTATGAAGTCTCATGCCAAAGAAGCCTTCCTTGCAAGCCAGGTATCCTTCTGTATTTACTATGGACCACTGGAAACCTAATGGGTCACTATCATACCAGGTAATTTCTCTGTAGTCATTAAACTGGTCTTTAGGTGGGCTAAATTCTGTATCCCAGCAGCAGTACTTGAAATGACAGGAGCCACAGCTAGACAAGGAATTTAAAACCTGGCCTCTTGTATTGTAGAACAAAGCACTTAATTCATAATTTATAGTTACTTTCACATTCCCAGGCCTTAAATTAATACTGTAATACTTGAGTTGCAAATATTGAAGGGAGAGGTTTACTTGTTTTATGAGACTGTTTCCATTGCTGTTATTTTTAAATTCATGGAAATGTTCCTATTAGACTCTTCAGTTTTATTAAAGCATGTTTTTGCACCACACAAGTGCAGAGACACATTCAACTTGACAGTAGTATTCCTTTAACCCAGGGGATTTTTCCATCCACTTAAAAATATTTTTCTTCTGTATGTAATGCTTTGTTTTGCACAAGGATGCAATTAAGACAATTTAATTCTTTAGATGTATAGCAAGGCCTCTCATTCTCTGTTAGGACAGCTGAAAGGTCTTAAAATGTTTATTCTTCTCTGGCTAATTTGGGAGCAAATGTTGTTTATTTAAATCTCACTCATAGACAAGCCTGCGACTTGAGTATTGCTCAGGAGTGAGGCAACTCAGTGAGCGAATTTCCCCATCTCTCCCTTCGCCTCAACTCCCTTGCACCACTAGTTTGAGTGATGACATGGGGCTTGTGCAGGGCCTCCTGTGCCCCCAGGACTGGTGCACGGGGCAGGCTGAGAGCCAGAGCAGCCCCCCAGCAAGGACTCATCCCTCTTCCACAGCTCATCTCTTGCAGTGAGAGGCATGGCCACTGCAGGCTTTGGGGTAGTGCATGGGCTGAGGGGCAAAGTCAGGCAGCAGCAACTGTCCTCTGATGTGTTTGGTTTTCTTAGCTAATGTTGAAAAAACCTTTCTAGTGAAAATGGTGTTATTGCTACCTACTTACTTGTGGCAGTGTTCAGGAGCCCTGAGAGAGGAAAGCATAAAGGTGGCCCCCACTGGGCCTTCCACTGAAGTGGATGGCTTAACTTCTGGTCCTTGGAAAAAATCCTCCTTGGTCTCTAAAGGAGACTTTGAGATCCCATTTAACTCTCCTAAGTGGTAAGCAGGCTTTATAAAAGCTGTTTTGTACTCTGCAAGTACAGGTGGACTCTTATCATAGCAATAGGCAAGGTCTAAGAGCACTACTTCCCACCTGTATCAAGTGGCATGGATGATCACAAAGGAGGGATCTCCTCAGAGCAGAACCATGTCAAGGAGGCTTTACACTGCTGCATTGAACAGGGGCTGGAGTGTAGAGTAAAATGAAAATGCAGTCGTCTTTGAGACGCTTCTCCCAGATGATGTGGGGGAAATTTCCATCTTGAGTCATATGTTGAGAGTCATTGATCTATGGAATAAAACATTTTGCAAAAGGCTGGAAAAATAGTCATTATACTCGAAGAACATAAAAGGCATGCTCATCCTGATGCTAAATGTGGTCATGCTGCCAATTTTGTTTCTTACTGCAAATCAAAACAGTCTCTGAGAGCTAATCTGTTTATAAGCTTCCATATTCTCCATAGCCATATGTCAAGGCATAGTAGAAGCGTAGCTGAAAAGGCAGTTCCTAAAAGCTTTGTGTATTTACAATGAATATTCAAAAGTTTTGTCCGTAATTTGCTAAATGAGAAGAATTTTGACTTTCAAGGTGTCTTTCCATTACCTGATAAAGAGACTTAAAAATAAATCCAGTGATTTGGCTTTTTTTGGCCTGAATACAGTGTCTTTTTTTAACTTATTTCCTGAGAAAAAGAAACATTTGCCGGAAATTGAAATAATCTTGCAAAATATCTTTCCAATTTAAAAAAAGAACTATACGTTTTAGCAGAATTCTGTTCTGAACCTGGCATCTTAGTTGTGGGGGAGAAAAAAAAAAAGAATTGTCCATTTCCCTTTGGAGCTGTTGGGGAGAGCTGGAGGATCAGTAGAGCTGATAATGGCGCAGGAAGACTCTCAGCACTCCTGCAGCAGTGACTGCATTAAAATGTCTGCACGTGCTACAGATACCATTTTTGACACTGGTGTCTGCTCCAAGCCCCAGCAGCAAAGAGACAAAAAGTCTCTTATTGACTTCAATGCGCTTTGGATTAGTCCTTCTTTAATTGGAACCTGCTGAAGCATGGTACTTTTACTACCTCTCTTTGAAAAGCAGTCTTTATGGATTTAGGGCAATAAAAAGGAGAGGGGTTTTCTGTGGGTGCAGTAAGCACTCTAGGTTACAGGGTCCTCTTTTCACTGCCTCAAGTGCTACTTTGCACTATTCACTTCAAAGTAAGTGTCATGAGAAAGGAAAAAGAACAGAGGAGTGGAGTTGTTCGGCAAAGGATATTGGTATGTTTCCAAAACCGAGATCATTTTGAGTTCTGGAATGTGAATAATCCCCTAAGAGGTGGGATTTGATGGTTCAAGAGATTGTTAGTAGATTCATTGAGTTTTCTGCCTCGAGACCAAGGATCCAAACCCACATTGACCCAAAAGAAATGCAGCCTAATGGCAATCTGTGCAAAATGAACTATGAATTTTCTTTCTTCTGTCCTTAGGAGTTTAATTTCTAACCTATGCAACACCAGCCCTTGCTAGCAGACTTAGAAAAGGGCACAGAGGATTGAATGAGTCAAATACTTGACCTGCACTCTGCCTAGCAGGGGAACAAACCCATTAGACCCTGGGAGGG